TTTTAGTTTGGCTTCATTCGTCCGGGGGCCTTCCCTGCTTCTCCCTCACTTGTACCCTTTTAATGTGAATTCGAAGCTTAAAACCACATGTTCATGGCCCCAAGGGGTTTTTTATATGTGATGTCCTGATATCCCCCCACTACTCAAGGTGAATACTAATTTAAAAACCCTTGCTGGTTTTTCCTCTTTTTTCTCTCTCTTGTAGTGTCCCTTACGTGTTGGCCCCATGAATTTTTTCCAATTTACCACCCCCATATTTTTGCCCTCCATGTATTTGGCCCCATGGGGCCCAAAAAGTTCCCCCAATCGATTTTTTTTGGGGGGTTTTAAAGCCCCCCCATGTTTCGGGGAGTTTTTGCCCTGCATGCTTGGGGCTCTTTGGCCCTCTAGCCAGGTGTAAACCCTGGGCTCTATTGCTCTGTCTTTACTTTGGGCCTTGGCCCCTTTGCTTTTTGGGGTTTGGGTTATACATCATTTCCCTATTACCCCCTTGGGGCCCTTTCCAGAGTAAAGGGTTTTCCCCACTATGTAACCCAATTTTTTTCCTCCGCTGTCTCCTCTCCCCAGCCCCCATCAAAATTCCAGCGATTTTTGATCAGCAACGAAACTCTAAAACCCCCCCCCTGTTCCCTCTGTTTTTCCCTCAGGATTTTTGGTATCCCGTTGGAAAGAGGGGCATCTGTTTCATACCTGTAAGTTTGGGGGTTTCTGTTGAGAGCTATGAGTCTGGTAAATGCTTCTTTGACTTTTTTCCATGCCACTCCTCCATTATTTGTTATTCCTTCGTGTTTGTGTCCCAATTTTTCGTTTTCCTTTCCAACCTGGGGGTTTGGGGGCCTTTGAGGGGGGGGTGACCTGGTGGAAATACTGTGGGATTCTATAGCTGGTGTTTGGGTGGAGGCTAGGGGGTAGGGGATTTTTAGTGTGTGTTGGGATGGTGTGATAGGTTGTAGGTTCTGGAGAAATTGTGTGTGTGCTTCCCCCTTGCTGTTTTTTTGTCTTACTGACCTTGGGGGTTCCCTCCTTTTTCTTTTTTCCCTTAGCCCTTTGGGTTTTTTGCCCTTTTCCCCTTTAGTGTGGTCGTTCTGTTTTTGTTTGTCTTGTTTTGGAACACACTCTTTTTCTTTTTCCCGAGTTTTCAATGGGTGGTTTCTTTTTGGGAGGATTTTTGTTCCGCACTGTTTCCGTCCTTTTGGAAAAAATCAGCTTGATTGGTCGGGTTTTCCCCCCTTGATTTCCCCCCCTTTTCTCAAAAAAATTTTTTAAAATCTCGCCCAAATTCTCTTCACCTTTTCCCGGGGTAAATTTTCTCATTCCCCTTTTTTTCTTCCTGCGCCTTTTTCAGTGGGGTGTCCTTTCCCCTCCCCTGAAGCCATGGATAAACACTGATTTTGCCCTTTTTTCCCTTCCCATTGCCCCCCCCTCTGTGACTTGGATCCTGCCCGTATGTGGGCAGTTTCTCCCCCTTTATTTTTCCAGTGGTTTGATGCCTTTTTGTGCCCCAGCATTTGACCTACACCCTTTTCCATCTGCAAAAGTGAATCTTCCCTTTCACCCTTGGGCCTCCCTTTGGGAGGGAAAGTTTTTGACCTTAGCTAATTCATAATTCCTTCCTTCCCTGTTCGGGCCCCGCCTTCATATGTGTGTTTCTCTGCGTCACTGCCCCCCGGAACCCGCCCTTTAGCCTATTTATCTCAACTTCTAGGACCCTTTTCTTAGCTACTGCAGTTTCGACCCTTTTTCCTCCCAATTTTTGTCTCCTTCTCCAACCCCTTTTCCAATTTAAAAGAGGGGCTTTTCTCCCTTTTTTCGAAAGTCTCCTAAAATTTTTTCTCCCCATCTTGTTAAACCTTTTCCCTGCTCCTCCATCCAATCCCCACTACCAGAAAACCCTTTTCATTCCCGATCCTTGGTTTTCCGCGATTTCCCCCCCATTTTTTTTTTTTTTTCTTTTTTTTTTTGGGAAAAAGGGAGAAGGGGAAAAGGGGAAGGGGGGGAGAAGTGAAGGGAAGGGGTTTGGAGAGGGGGGTTAGAAGGGGAAAAAAGGGGATGAGAGAGGCAAAAAGAGAGGGGGGGGGGGGGGGGAGAGGGAGAGAGAGAGGGGGAAAGAGAAGGCAAGGAGGGGGGGAGAGGAGGGGGCAGAGAGGGGGAAAAGGGGGGGGGGAGATGGAAGAAAAGGGAAGGGGAGGGGGAGGCTAGGGGGGGGAGGGGGGGGGAGGAGGGAGAGAGGTGGGGGGAAAAGGGGGGGGGAAGGGTAATGGGGGGGAAAGATGTTAGAAGGGGGGGAGGGGGGATGTTAGAGGGGGGGAGGTTGTTAGAGGTTTAAAAGTGGGTTTGAGGGGGGGAGATGGGAGAGGGAAAAAAAAGAGGGGATAGGGAGAGGGGAGAGTTTTTAGGTTTAAAAAGTGAGAGAGGTAGAGATAGGTCTACTTTAGGGTAGAAAGAGGGGGGGGGGAGGAGTTTTTTCGATGGTCGTTCACAGGACGGGGTGTGAAATCCTTTTGTATGTGTGTTTTCGTGTGTAATGCAGCTTACAAAATGCTTGGGTTTCCGTGTGTGTATGGGGTTTGGGTATGGTATGTGTTTTATGTGTTTTTGTGTGGTTCGTGTGTGGTTTTTGTGTTTTATGGTGTGTGTGTGTGTAGTGTTGTGGGGGTTAGTTACCAAATTTTTTCCTGGCACATGTCGATTAGAAACCTTTAAACCTGGGTGGGGTTTGTGTTTTGTGTGTATGTGTGTATGTGTGTAAGTGTGTGTGTGTGTGTGTGTGTGTGTGTGTATATGTGTGTGTGTGTGTGTGTGTGTGTGTGTATGTTTTGTGTGTGTGTGTGTATGTGTTTTGGTGTGTGTTTTGCGTTGGTGTGTGTGTGTGTTGTGTGTGTGTGGGGTGTGTTTTGTGTGTTTTGTGGTTTCCCCCCCTTTAAGGGATTCATACTGCTAATAAATACCCGGGAGATACCCGTTTAAATTTAAGCTTACCAATACTTGGAACACTTATCGTTTTTACTTCTAAAATTCAGAAAAATTCTTGGTTTTTTAAAAATTTTGTTTTTCTCGCTTAAGGGTCGACATTTTCCCTCACTAAACCCCTTTAAAACCCTTTCCCCTGTTTTCCCCTTTGCTATTTCTTTCTCTAATTTTGGTAAAGGCTTGCAGGGTGGGTGGGCCAGTATCTAACAGTGATGCCCGGGCCAGACCAATCTTGCAAAATTTTCAAAAACCCCAACACCCGGGGGGACTTTCGCTGAAAAGCGGTTTTGATGAAAAGTTTCCAGAAGCTGATGACGTAGTGTCGTACATAGGCCTTCTCTCACTATTTTGTAACTCCTTCACCCGTGATGTTTATAATCATATATGCTCATGCATCCCGCGTTCCTCAAGTGATATCACTTTTCACTTATTACAGAATACACTTCACATTCGGTGTTACACTTTATATGTGTGTGTGTGTGTGTGTGTGTGTGTGTGTGTGTGTGTGTGTGTGTGTGTGTGTGTCTGTGTGTATGTGTGTGTGTGTGAACATATTTAAAGCTTTTATTTGAAGTCTAAGAACATGTTTACATTTTTTAAATACATTTAGGGCTATTAACTTATTATATAATTATCTGGTATTATTTTTATGTCTAGTATTCTCAGTCTTTGTTTTCGTTAAATCTTTTTCCTCTTTAATTTTCACTTCCATTCGCAGCATTCCAGGAACACACAAGAACGACTAATTCCCATTCCAGGGATTTTTTCCTGAGTGCATGATTGAATGTTCTTAAGAGTCTTAATTCTGCTCCACTTCTACACTTCCCTCATCACCCCAGCTTCCCTACCCCTTCACTACCCCTCTTTTGCACCCCTTCGTTTCCCCGCCACCCTTCCCTACACACCTTCACCTCCCCACAAATATTAAAGTACTGCATATATCTGCACAAAATTTCCAGTTCTATTCTCCCTAGTGCTTCTCTTGGGAAGATCCTTCAAGATAGTTCTCGCTCACGTAATCTACCACGACACTTCCAGCGAAATTATGTTGTGCGTCAGCGAATATCTGCGCGATCGTCCAAACGATTTCCTGAGGACCCTGCTTGATTTTCCTTGTACCCACGGACGCTGTGAACCCAAGGAGGGTGTGGACGCTATTTGCTATACTACGGACGCCATTTGATTTCTCACACCAAACTGTTTTCGGAGAACGCGGAGTCAGTAATGACAGCCACCAGAGGGAGACAGTTTGCCAGAACGCCTCTGAAAGCAGCACGGGAAATTAAATTTTAGTGTCCCACAGCGGAACCACTTCTAGGGTCTAGTTTCTAAGCCTTGTGTGTATCCATGTGTTTTTGCGCTACCGTCCACAGGATGAATGTGGGGGTGCACTGTAAACTAGCCCCTTCGGAGGCATTATCTAAATCTAACCCGCGGGTGTTCCCACTATATAACCATTATGTGGAACAGGGTATCTGTACATTGCAGGGTTTCTCAAGTTTGTTGAATGCACAAAGGAAAAACAGTCTAGACCGATAATTTCTGCCATTGGTTGAGCCTCAGTTTTGAATTACTTTGGGAAGTTAGTTATTGGAAGGTATATCACAGCCTGTCAGGCACTATCCTGACGTAATGCACATAAGCACTCTCTCTCTCTCTCTCTCTCTCTCTCTCTCTCTCTCTCTCTCTCTCTCTCTCTCTCTCTCTCTCTCTCTCTCTCTCTCTCTCTCTCTCTCTCGCACACATACATTCAATTTTATCTGGGATCGCCAGTCTCATCTTAAGGATATATTTCGAGCAGCTACAAAGGAAACACGAATAACGAAGACTAGCAAGAGCGGGCATAAAGACGGAGTGGCGGAAGCCTTTACATGGGCTGTCATATACTTCCCAGAGTCGAAAGCCCTCAACTTCAATAGGAAACTTTATGCATGGGTAAAAATCAAAATCACCTGCATTGTTGGCCTATATACAGGGTGCGTCGGTAAAATGCAAATCTCTGACCATAAATAACCTCTCTTTCTTTCCAGGTGTGATGAGGATACGACCCAGCACGCAGGTGTATAGAGGTATTGTAAAAATGTGTATGTCTGTGTGTGTTTTGTGTGTGTGTGTGTGTGTGTGTGTGTGTGTGTGTGTGTGTGTGTGTGTGTGTGTGTTGTATATGTTTGTGAGCCGTGTGGGCATGTGTACGCGCTTGCGTAACTTCAGTTTACGTGTGGCTATCCAGTATACACATGTATGGAAGCAATAAGATCACATGATACAGGTGTTGTCTTTAATATGCAATATCAACACAGTGAAAACTTGCGTCATTGCAAGCGCTTTCGCCATCTCTCATGTTATCATTAAACAGTGAAAGATAATGTGAGAGATCAAGAAGGCGCTTGGAAAAATACTGCTTTCCACCGTGGTTATGTTGCATTTGTATGGAAATAGAGATGATGTGGTTGCCTAGAGACCTCAGATCAAGGCACAAGTCCTCACTGAATTGTGTTTTCAAGTGTTACGCCTTATCTCCTGGCTCCTGCTATTAAATATTATCGACTAGCTTCACTGGTTCCTGGCCTCTTGGGTCTTATCTCCCCTACTCTTGAAACAATGTGTGTGGGTTTGCCTCTTCCACTTTCTCATCCAACTCGTTCCACTGTCTTTCCAATGTGAGGCTGAAGAAATATTTGCTGGCGTCTCTGTGTCTCATTAAGAGTTCCGTTCCATCCATTTCTAAGACTATTCGTATCCGCCCTATCAAGTTCTCTCTGTACTGACTCATTTGTATTGGCAGGGGTCGATCCTGCCGCTTACCGAGGAACTCTTTGTTTTTCCTGAATTATGCCATACCTACTCTTGAAGCTGTGATTCGAGTTTGCTGTCACCAATAACTTATTTTTTCTCATTCCATTGCCTTACTGTATAACCTGAGGTTATACCTACCCGCTAAGCTGTGTATTGATTATGCTTCCAGTGCACAGTAGAGAAACATCAGTCTGAACATCAGGAAATTAATATATTTCAGTAACTCCAGATATTAACATGTTACGGTTGAACTTAAAGAAATAGCTTGGGTAGTATTTATGCCATATTTTGTTAATTTTAACAAGACTAGGTTAAGCTCTACTTTAGTTTTGATACAAAATTAAAAATTTGCATAGCATGTAAATTCATATTAAAGCATTATATGATTTTTTTCCTCGGGATAATCTATTTTCAAGGCAACTTGGTTTGATTTGTTGCCTTGTTTGACACGTTTGTTGTTTGTAAATGTGTACTAGTGTTTAAATGGTGTGTACTAGTGTTTACATGGTGTGTACTAGTGTTTACATGGTGTGTACCAGTGTTTACATGGTGTTTGTACCAGTGTTTACATGATGTGTACTAGTGTTTACATGGTGTGTACTAGTGTTTACATGGTGCTTGTACCAGTGTTTACATGATGTGTACTAGTGTTTACATGGTGTGTACCAGTGTTTACATGGTGTTTGTACCAGTGTTTACATGGTGTTTGTACCAGTGTTTACATGGTGTGTACTAGTGTTTACACGGTGTGTACCAGTGTTTACATGGTGTGTACCAGTGTTTACATGGTGTTTGTACCAGTGTTTACATGATGTGTACTAGTGTTTACACGGTGTGTACCAGTGTTTACATGGTGTGTACCAGTGTTTACATGATGTGTACCAGTGTTTACATGGTGTGTACCAGTGTTTACATGATGTGTACCAGTGTTTACATGGTGTGTACCAGTGTTTACATGGTGTGTACCAGTGTTTACATGGTGTTTGTACCAGTGTTTACATGGTGTTTGTACCAGTGTTTACATGATGTGTACCAGTGTTTACATGGTGTTTGTACCAGTGTTTACATGATGTGTACCAGTGTTTACATGGTGTGTACCAGTGTTTACATGGTGTGTACCAGTGTTTACATGATGTGTACCAGTGTTTACATGGTGTTTGTACCAGTGTTTACATGTGTACCAGTGTTTACATGGTGTTTGTACCAGTGTTTACATGATGTGTACCAGTGTTTACATGTGTATCAGTGTTTATATGGTGTGTACCAGTGTTTACATGATGTGTACCAGTGTTTACATGGTGTTTGTACCAGTGTTTACATGTGTACCAGTGTTTACATGGTGTTTGTACCAGTGTTTACATGGTGTTTGTACCAGTGTTTACATGGTGTGCACCATTGTTTACATGGTGTGTACCAGTGTTTACATGTGTACCAGTGTTTACATGGTGTTTGTACCAGTGTTTACATGATGTGTACCAGTGTTTACATGATGTGTACCAGTGTTTACATGGTGTTTGTACCAGTGTTTACATGATGTGTACCAGTGTTTACATGGTGTGTACCAGTGTTTACATGGTGTGTACCAGTGTTTACATGATGTGTACCAGTGTTTACATGGTGTTTGTACCAGTGTTTACATGTGTACCAGTGTTTACATGGTGTTTGTACCAGTGTTTACATGATGTGTACCAGTGTTTACATGATGTGTACCAGTGTTTACATGGTGTTTGTACCAGTGTTTACATGTGTACCAGTGTTTACATGGTGTTTGTACCAGTGTTTACATGGTGTTTGTACCAGTGTTTACATGGTGTGTACCATTGTTTACATGGTGTGTACCAGTGTTTACATGTGTACCAGTGTTTACATGGTGTTTGTACCAGTGTTTACATGATGTGTACCAGTGTTTACATGGTGTGTACCAGTGTTTACATGGTGTGTACCAGTGTTTACACGGTGTACCAATATTTAGATGGTGTTTGCTCCAGTGTTTACATGGTGTGTACCAGTGTTTACATGGTGTTTGTACCAGTATTTACATGGTGTTTGTACCAGTGTTTACATGGTGTGTACCAGTGTTTACATGGTGTTTGTACCAGTGTTTACATGGTATGTACCAGTGTTTACATGGTGTTTGTACCAGTGTTTACATGGTATGTACCAGTGTTTACATGGAGTGTACCAGTGTTTACATGGAGTGTACCAGCGGAGGAGAGAGAGGTACATGATAATATATACCTGGAAGGTACTCGAGGGCTTGGTCCCAAATCTGCACACTGCCATAACAACATACTGGAGTGAGAGATATGGGAGGAAGTGTAAAATAAACCCAGTGAGGAGCAGGGGTGCGGTGGGGACAATAAGGGAACACTGTATCAACATCCGGGGTCCCAGACTTTTCAACATCTTACCAGAAGATATCAGAAACACTGCTGGAACAAGTGTTGAAGCCTTCAAGAGGAAACTAGACAAGTATCTTCACCAGGTGCCAGATCAACCAGGCTGTGATGGATATATGGGGCAGCGGGCCTCCAGCAGCAACAGCCTGGTTGACCAGGCGAGCACCAGACGAGCCTGGCCCATGACCGGGCTCAGAGAGTAGATATACTCTCGAAATTCTTCAAAGGTGTATCAAAGGTATATCAAAAGTTTACATGGTATACCAGTGTTTACATGGTATGTATGTACCAGTGTTTACATGGAGTGTACCAGTGTTTAAATGGTGTGTACCAGTGCTTACATGGTGTGTACCAGTGTTTACATGGTGTGTATACCAGTGTTCACATTTAGTGTACGTATTAGTCCTGGATCTGAGTGTGTATGCAAGTTCTCACATGTAGTGTGTGTGTATAAGTGCGTACATAAAGTGTATGGGTATTGTTGAGTGCTTACATGTTCTGTACGTGTATGATTACTCTGGCTGGAATAAGTACATTAATATGTGCGTGATGCACATATTTTACCACGAGAATGATACTGATGAAACTATACCCAAGCGAAATAACCTCAATGATTTTTAAATGGGTGGACGGGGAAGCCAACGGAAGGCCTCGGTCAGATGACCAAAAGCTCCATGTCCTGTTTCCTACACAAAAGTGTAGATTTTCATGTTTTTTTTTTCGATCCCTAAATTACAGTATAGTTCTGAGTGTTAACTTTTTTTTGATAGGGGACGGGGGGTGTTAGGCCTGGGGAGGTGAAAATGTGGGGGGGGGGATTTTTTCGTAAAATATTAATAGGTGTATCCAAAATTTGCCCTATGACAGTTGTATGAATGCGTGAGTCCTGAAATATGATTGAGGCCAGTTTGTAATTGTGAATCAAATTGCTGTCTGTTCATCCATTGTTGTTGTGGTTACTGTGATTTCCTGCCTGTGTGTGTGTGCTCGCTGATTTGTAGTCACCGAATTGTGTCTGCGGGGTTCGCGGCATAGCTCCTGGTCCCGCCTCTTCAGCCATTTTGACTGGCATCACTGACTTGTAACGTCTTGTGCCTTGTCGTATCTACTCAAGAAGCTGTGTATTGAGTTTGCCTCCACCACTGCCTCATCCTAGTCATTCTCCTCTTCAGGCGCCCTTTGGCTTCCACCCCTTGATTTCAGTCTTCTTAATTCAGGCAGTCTGTCCCTACCAGACCTAACAATTCCTCTTGAGTTTTTGAGCTTAGTAATCATGTCCCCATCTTGTTCTTCTCTAAGATCGTCAAGTTCAGTTCTTTCAACCTCTCCTCACAGTGCATTCCTCTCTATTCTAGTACTAGTCTGGTTCTAAACGTTTGAATCTTCTCCAATTTCTTCACATGCTTAGCCAAACGTGGACTCCATGCTGGGATCACGTACTCGATGATTGGTCTAATATATGTCGTGTGTGTGTGTGTGTGTGTGTGTGTGTGTGTGTGTGTGTGTGTGTGTGTGCGTGCGTGTGTGTGCGTGCGTGTGTGTGCGTGCGTGTGTGTGCGTGTGCGTGTGCGCGTACACTCACCTATTTGTGGTTGCAGAGGTCGAGTCACGGCTACTGGCCCCGCCTCTTCGCTAGTCGTTAATAGGTCCACACTCTCTCTCTCTCTTTCTCTCTCTTTTTCTCTCTCTCTCTCTCTCTCTCTCTCTCTCTCTCTCTCTCTCTCTCTCTCTCTCTCTCTCTCTCTCTCTCTCTCTCTCTCTCTCTCTCTCTCTCTCTCTGCTCCAAGAGCTTAATCGTACCTCGTCTTAAAGCTGTATATGTATCCTGCCTCCACTACATCACTCTCCAAATTGTTCTACTTCCTGACAGTTCT